CTAAAAATAGGTTTGAGATTTCAGCAAGTTTGGGGTTAACAAACTCTTTTTTAATTTCTCTCTTTAGGGATCAGCATTTCATTTTGCTCTTGCACCATATGGTTTTAGCAATTCAGAATTACTCTCATTGAATAAATTTGTATAAATGACACATTTCGGTATCTTGATCAATATTTGTGATAAATTCTTTCTAAATACTTAGTCCAGAGTCATTTTGTAATTGCAGATGCAATGGAATATTTTATGAATAACAAGTTCTGCCTGCGAAATTTTTTAAGTGAAGGAGTTGTCTGGACACATCAAGGTTTTAATTGATATGATTTCATTTAATACTTATAACAATACTTTAAGGTAGAGTTCCCTATTTACAAATGATGTGGTTAAGGTCTAGGTAGGTAGCTTGCTAGTGCTTTTGTAGCCAGGCTTCTTCCTTGAGTCTGTAAGTGTCAAAGCATTTACACAGTTGCAATGTCTCGTTCTGGTAAGCAACACATGTGATACTTGTTGCTAGGGGTAATTATCTGCTTTCTGAAAAATCTGTGTTAGTCACAGAATTTAAATTAGGGCATTTCTTACTCTACAAACCCTCCCTAGCCTTTTACCATTCATAATATATTACCCCTACCAGTTTTATACAGTTGGCAGCCTTTAAGGATTGAAAGTTTGACTTCTCTTGCTTTTCAATTATTTTTTTAGAATGAGAATAAAAAAACTCACAATCAGAATATAGTTACTGGGTAATTTAGTTTAACTTTTTTGAACATTTAACACTCTTATTATACTTTTAAAAGCATCATGTCAGCTTGTTACTTTGGAACATGTACTCTCTTTAGATTAACTTGAGAACAGGTAATGCATTCCATTGGTTGCAGAAGGAAGTAGTAGATAGAAGAGATGGGATTCATGATAAGTAACTAGACTTGTATGCCACTCAGTGTGATGGACATTCTTCTGAGCCTCTTTTACCTACATGAACTTGCTCCTCCCCAAATTGATGCCGAGGGAGCTTCTGTCATTATGGTTTTTGAACACGTGAACTGAAGCAGGAGATGTGTCTGAACAATAATTCTTCTTGGTGGTGTCATTTGACTGGTATCAGCTCTTACGGAAAAAAAAAAACTTTTTATGAACACAAATAGCATACTTTCTGTCTGTCTATAAGTTGGTAAAGGTACTTAACTGAAAACTAAGTATTCTCATGTACTCAATGCTACAACTAGCTGTCATCTTTCCTTAGGCCATGTACTTCGGGTACTTTGTAGTCTGATCCTATTTAAGTCCTAGTATATAAATTCTAGTAAAATTTCTTGCATAATTCAGGTCCTAAATAAATACAGCCTTTTCAGGATGAGTATCGCTGCTTTGATAAATAGTAGGATTCATGCTGCCAATTTCAGAGTTTTCTAGACAATCACAGTGAGCAGCCATTTGTAAACTCCTGAACACTAGAGAGTGATTTAAACATGCATGGCTGCAGCAAGATGGTTTTCCAGCCCTGCGCAGGATTCAGAGCCCAGGACAAATAGTAGCCAAATTCTATTGTGTCCTAATGCTTGTTTGCAACTAGTAGTCTTAATGGAATTTTGTATATTGTTCTCTGTATTTCACTCTACAGAAGGCAGAGGGAACTGTTTGGGTCCTAGTATCTAGGTATTCTAGACTCAATACTGTCCAAATTCTGTTAACATTTTCCCTTTGAGATTCAGTGTAACTATGAGGATCTTAGGTGAGAGTTTTAATTTTTTAAAATTATAGACTTTTATGCTTCTGCTCTTTTTCCCCCACGATGTTAATTCTCATGATGTGAAAGTAAGATGGACATAGATAATTTTGTTAAACACCCAGAAATGGGACATAGTCTGAACATGTTCTAGTAGTCTGAAAGGGAGCTAAATATCACCAAAGTATTCTTAATAAGAAATGCCAATGTTTCACATTTAATGGCTCTCAAGAGCACTGACATTTATTTTGTTACTCTGTTCTATATTTTACAGTCAATTGGTGCTTGTGAGCTGTGTGTATCCTCTAATTACTCAGAACCATATGGCCATGGCAGACAGTTGATAAGTGGGTTACATTATTTTATGATAAGAAAATATCATCTTTGTCTTGCTGAGGAGAACTATGGAATGCTGAGCTGACCCCTACTTTACCAGGAATTACAGCTTTAGCTGTAGAGATTTTATGCCTAGTTTGTAGAGCTGAGGGGCCATCCATCCAGGCAGAAACCATGATGGGCATCATCAGTTTCTATAACAGGTTGTCATTCCCACCATCTGCTAGTCTGGTGGTCAAAGCATTATGAGCCTCTACCCTTAGTGTCACGCAATGCTTACAGGCCAGACACCTCACGGAATACTGTGGTGTGGCCTGATATCCATCTCTTGTCACCAGCCTCATTGTGGAAAATTGTCAGAAGGCCATTCAGCAAAGGCACACTGTTTTATCTAGACTTTATCCCTATATCAAGTTTAGACAGGTGACTCATTTTGCTGTCCTCACCCAAAGTCCTCATTTATAAAAGAAGGCTTAAGTTTCCAGGCACATACCATTGAGAGTTTATCCAGAAGTTGCATTATCCAAAAGGGACATTTATATAGATAATTAGGAATTGATATTTTAATTTACAAAGTAAATTCAGTACTGTGCTGATATGTGGAAAACTGTTAAAATCTGGCCGCACAGAATAGCTTCATGTCCCTTCTCACTTGGCTCAGATGCTACTTGTCATCTGAGGCTAATATACAAAGTGGAAATTATCATTCTCCCATTCTGATTAGTTCACAATAGTCAATATTTTATTGTGTTTTTGCTTTAACATTCTTTTTAATTTTTTGAGATAATATAATTTTATATTCTTTATTCTCTAATTCTGCCTTTCTACCCTAACAATGTGAGCCATTTATTATTCTATCAGAAAATGTAATAGCTTGTTGATTTGTTTTCTAAATAAATCATTTTTTTTCTGATTTTATCTAAAAACCTTCACATTGAAAAATAATAAATAGGGCTTTTTTTTCTGATTTTATCTAAAAACCTTCACATTGAAAAATAATAAATATTTATTTATCATCACACTGGTGAGATGACTCAGTGTGTAGAAGCATACTGTGCAAGCATGAAGATCTGTTTTAGGATCCTAAGACTCTTAGTCAGGCATGTCCACACATAAGCCTGTGACTCCAGCCAGGCATGTCTACATAGGTGCATGTAACTCTAGGTAGGCAAGTTCCCATATGTGATTGTAACCCCAGAACTATGGAGAATGGCAACAGGGAAATTGCTGGGGCTTCATTGACACCAGCTTGTTTACAGGTTCAGTGAGAGACCCTGTCTCAAGAGAAGGTATGGAGTGACAGAGCATATCACCTGGCATACTCCTCTGATCTCCTTCCATGCAACAAAACATGCATCTCCAAGACCAGAAATATATACGTATGAAAAATAAGTGAATGATAATATCAATTAATACATGGCTTTACACAATGTGTTACTTATGGCTCTTAGTACATAATACATGCATACATAATACATACATACATACATACATACATACATACATACATATGGGAAAATTTTTTATTACATAATACATACATACATACATACATACATACATACATACATACATATGGGAAAATTGTTTATTGTAGTTTTATTAACTAAGAATGTATTAGTTGTAACCACAAAGAAAGACCTACAGGAAAGTTAAGACACAGGATTTCTATAGTGGAACTCTGGCGAAGGCATGGAAACACTGCTGTGGACAGGTACAGGGGTGTTCTCCACACTCATTTGTCCACAGATTTCTCAAGGACTACCATGTTCTAAAATGACCTCTTTATTTCAAGATGACATTGCTAGACAATATGGAAAGTTAAGGGCTGAAAGCTCTCTTCTTATAATAGGTATTGGCATGTCCTTGTATGTTATATTTGATATCATATAAATCAAATGTGGGACATATAACCTTATGTGTAACAGAAATGCATAACACTCTCTCCCGTTCAACAGTTGCAATAGTTGTTTTCCAATTGAGTTGTTTTTCCTTCTGCTAAGTGTCCTTATTGAAAATGGAACATCATTTTTGTATTAACTTTAGTAGGGATGTGTTTTTCTTCTCACAATTTAGGAGCTCCAGGAACATTTAATCTGAATCTATTTGCACAGATCATCCCTTTCTGGAGGTGGTGATTTAGCAAACATTGAGCTAAATATTTATTGCTAAGTTAGCAAACCTGTATGATTAGGGAGTACATTGCCAACATTGTTGCTTTTAGATTGTGCTCTCCTATCTTCTAATTTTCCATAGGGCACTGTGAACTCAGTGCCTATCAGTGGTGAACAAAGGGTAGTTTTTATATCACAGTGGCACTGGAGGAGGATTTTAAGGGTGTTGATCGGGAATATTAGGAATGTAAACTTGTATAATTGATAAAAGGGAGATGCCTTTCCATGTAAATGAAGAGGAACACATTTCCACAGAGGGCCAGTGTAATACAATTAAGCAAAACCCAACAGGTACCTATTTTGTTCCTTTCCATCATATAAAGCTAGATCCATGTCGCTTGTAACTCTCTTTGAGTCTCAGTTTGCAATCTTCTCATACTAAGGCTATTAATGCTGACTTCATAATACCCTTTGGCTTTCCTAACAAATAAGTGTTTGGCACATGGCAAAGGTTGCTGATTTGTTAGTTTCCTCTGTTGATTGGATACAGGTAAATATAGTGTCCACTGTTCAAAGCAAGACACATATATCTATGGCCTTGTCAACTTAGTTTTTATATGAAAGACATCGATTTTGAATGTAGCTTAGGCTAGTGGAGTGTTTGCATATGCTGGAAGGGACTGCCTCCTTTGAGAACTGATCTTTTCCTTTTCTAGTTGTGTCTGTTTATCTCCATATGTATATGTAGTAAAGTTCCTAGGAGTTTCTGAATCAAAAAGACTTTATGGTTGTATTTTCAAAAGCAGTTTTGTATTTTTGCCTCATGCTAGGATTTTAAGAGTGGACTTGGCATTACCATAATTCCGATGAATGTTGCAAATGTAAAACAAGTAGATCGAGCTGTGAAACAATCTTTTGAGATAATCACTCCCTACAGGAGTTTCAGGTAAGCTATTTTTAAACATTTTTGTGTGAGTATTTGTTTTATGACTACTAAAAGACCTGGGAAATTTAGTTGCTAATGCTGGAGGTGGTGTTACATTTTATGGAACAATTAACATAATCTTGTCCACATTGTCTAACTTACTAGGCATGTAGGAAGTCACAGTGAAAATGGCTTGGAGAACTGTACAACCGACAAAGATATTTTTTCAATGAGTCTTGAGTTGCCTCTTTCTTCAGCACTTGGTTTATAACCAGAGCATAGTGGATATGTTAATTCTTTTACATTTAGGAGCAATGTTAATAGTGTTGCATTGTCTTTGGGTTGTGTTTACTTTCTGTTAGCCTAATTGAGTGAATCCCACTTTAATACTGACTTTTAATTGCAGTTGCCCTTGTGATTTCTTCCAGGGACTCAGCTTAGAGTTATTCTGGGTTTGATCAAACATTTTAACACCTTGATGTATGTGTAAAATAAAATGTATTGTGGTATTCCAGTAATTGCATCACTATGACAATGAGCAATACTTAGAATGTACTTAGCATACTTTAGCTGGGTGTAATGATTCTATAAGTTCAATGTATAATATAGACATGGGCAACTTATTTAGTGCAACTACATTGATACATTTGTCCCAAATGACACAGGTCAGGTTGTTTGAGTCAGAGGTAATTGTTCTAGGTTTTTGAATGACTTAAATATTTCTGAGATACTCGAGTATCTCATACATTTTGTTTCTCAAAATATGTCTATGGGCTCCAATTTTGATTAAAAGGATTAAATAAAGAATAATAAGTTTTATATTCACACTTGTAGATCTGAAGCTTGGATCATGGCTAAGTGGCACTGTGTTTGCCTAGCATGCACAAGACCCCACCCTCAACACATTGCATAACAAACACACACACACACACACACACACACACACACACACAGGAGGGAGGGAAGGTGAGAGAGAGGAAGAGAGAGAGAGAGAGAGAGAGAAGAGAGACAGAGAGAGAGAGAGAGAGAGAGAGAGAGAGAGAGAGAGAGAGAGAGAGAGAGAGAGAATGATTTTAGCCTCAGCTAAATAGAAATGCTGGCTGTAACTAACCTCTAGGAGAACTTGAAATCAATAAAATTTGTTAATATTGTAGTAATGGTGTAATCATAAAGTTCTTCAGAAAATACATTCAGAAAATAAGCTACTTATTTTATGAACCCCTTTGAATATTCAGCTACTAATTATTTTCATTATATTTCAAGTCATTTTATTTCATAGAAAAATTTTTAATGTGGCAGATACTTACAGTGAGTTTTCTTTTAAGTCATTTGTAACATGTGGATACTACCTATAATAACAGTCAATAAATCTTCTGTCTAATATTTTATCCTTTCTGCGAGGCATCAAGCCAACACTAAGAAATGAGACTGTGTCAGAGATGGCTAAAATTGAGTTAGGAATCCTTTAAAATAGTAACCATTTAAAACTTTTCTTGTTTCTCAGTCTCTTAATGCCATCTGGACAGTCTTCTAATTAAAAAAATTCCATTTTTAAATCTGACAAAAATCACAATTTCTGGTGGGTGTTTTTTTTT